TACCAGAAAAATGGATACAACTCCTGAGCTATAAAAGATACAGACCTGGGGTTGGTCTAGAATGGTAGATCTTTATCCGGGCTATTAACTTCACTATTTGGAAATCAAAATCCGACATATGCTCAGGGAATGGCAATCTAGCCAAGGTTACATCCGAGTGTTTACCTTGGTAAACCTTACTTGAAGGTCTGGTTATTTCATAGTAATACGTGCCCTGCTGTGCTCTATCGAACAATGAAAACCGCAGGTCGCTATCACATCTCCTTGAAAAGTTAAAAGCAATTTCTGCGAGCGCACCGTTTTCAAAAACCAGTACTATATTTACGTCGAATTCTTTATTTTCAATATAAGATAATTTAACTTTTGTTCTAAACTTCTATTCAAAATAACTTTTGAATTTTAAGTAATTAAAGAACAGTACTCTTCCATAGGCAGTGGAGCCATTAGGCCTGGGTAGGCTCAAGTTCATCCTAGACTGGCTGAGGGTAAGCTTCAGTAGGCTCAAACTTGGACAGAGCAAGGCTTTTGTAGGATCTATTAAATGTGAAGGTTTTCTATTATTTCTAGTTTTCCAGTTTTTCTGGCAGATGATACATCGTTATAGAGTCAGTGTCAGCCATAGGCGGCGGAGCCGTTAGGTCTGGGTAGACTTAGCTCTACCTAGACTGAATATCTAAAAAGACGTTCATACACTCCATTCTACATAAAAATGTTATATTATTGCTAAATTTTTGTTTGTTTATAACGCATGATATATTATTACAAGATCAGTTTATTCTGTATCTGCTACCAACCATAGGCGAGGGGACCACAATAGCTGAGTAGGTGAAAGCTCATCAAGATTCAAGTTTCATAGGCTAAGAGAGACTCAAATATTTGCTTCTCACTCTATCAGATTAACAAACTTGCGTACTGCTCGAAAGTTTTTGCTGCCATCAGCGGTAACTGCTAACATTTTTAGGGAAAAAACTGAGTTTCGTATGACTAAGTGTTGCAACGTACATTGATAATGAGTTCACGTTATGCTCTTTTGTTACAAATGAAGAATCACCTTACGCGTTCCTTACAATCATATCTGCTGGATGATGTCGAAATTCTCTCGCCTTTCTGCAGTTACTCTCAGATGCCAATCAAAAATTTTCAACACGCTGAACAAACCCACAATGAGATTCCTTTTCTGTGAGCACTGCTGCGTCGCCATAATTCTAGTTTCCACTAATACGAATCAGAAACTCTTTCCAATGTGCAGCTTATGAGATAGGTTCAGAATCTAACCAACTCTGGTTCTGAGCCTGGGTTTGAAATTTCTCTGTTGACCAGAGTCAGATCTAGATCCAGGGACAAATTCTCGAATTCAGACCTGATAGGCTCTAGCAGCACGTAAGAACTAGTTAAAACTTGGTTATTACGAGATTATCGTCAAAATTGTTTGAAAAATGTGTAGTGTGTGCTGGTTGCCCGAAAAATTAATAAAAAAAAATGTAGCATCTTTGAAATAATTATCAGATTGAGAATAAAAAACTTGCATTGAGAGTACGAACACTACGAATCCGACTTCGGATCCTAAAATTTTGCATCCGATGGACTATATTTGAGGGTCACTATTTAATGACAACAAAAGTTTAAGTAACTCTTTGAATACAAGCTTTTTGACACAAGTTGCAAACTCACCTCTGATCTCTGCTAATGTTATGCATTAAAAAATTTGAGTTCGAAATAAATAGTATTCATTGTATTTTATTTGAATGACATAGCATAAAAAATTACCCTCTCTATCTTTAACCTGTCAGTAAGGCTCGTATAAAAATATTGAGCCTACCCTAGATTCAAAACGCTCCGCCGCCTATGGTTCTGTATGATTGCATGCGCGTTCAGAGGACATACAAAAATAAACTGTGCTGGAGGCTCTAGAACGAAATTGTGTTGCTGTCGGAATGTATTGTAGCCTATTGATTGACCCTTTATTCAGCATTCTGTTATGCGCGTCATCGTTCGAAAGAACACGTTCAGAAACTAATTGATGTTCACAAAAATAAACTATTTCGAAAAGGTTTGATCAGTATCAAACTCATTTGAGTCGGCTTTATCTTAGGTTTTTATCGTATTGGGCCTAAATAATACGTTTGGCTGATTCCAATTGAATCAAAAAAGTGGTAGTTATTTTATTTTACACAAAAAAAATAACAGACAAATTGAAAAGTAGATTCGTACCATATGGTCAAATCGTGTCTCACCGAGCACTTTTTTTAACACTTTAATGTGTCGAATATTGTGACGCAAAGTAGTACACATATGACACATGTTTTTATAAATTTGCACGCAGTTTGGCTTTTTTTGATATCTAGTTTTTTTAATACACTTAATTAATGAATTTTTCATTAACAAAGAAGAAGTTGTATAATTGAGTAAATAAGCTCTTTCGTCAAAATTTTCGTAAGTGGATTTTCAATTCAAAGCAATTTCAAAGAGATGTGTTTTTTCAATCTAGAAATCATCTATGAGTAATTTTAAAAAATAAGGATCGATTCAATCTCCATCCTCCATACATTTTTTCTCTTTATTCAAAGTATATGAATCATCTATTTTTTTGGCTTCTAGCACTGAAAAGATTTTGACAAACTAAGAGTTTATTAGATGTTGTGCCAGGGTGGCCGAGTGGTTAAGGCGTTGGACTTAAGATCCAATTC